GTAGCGTGGCACCTGTTACTACTAGCTTCTTGTTACTACTAGTAAGGGCACCTGTCACTACTAGCGTGGCACCTGTTACTACTAGCATCTTGTTACTACTAGTAAGGCACCTGTTACTAGTAGCGTGGCACCTGTTACTACTAGCTTCTTGTTACTACTAGTAAGGCGCCTGTTACTACTAGCGTGGCGCCTGTTGCTGCTAGCTTCTTGTTACTACTAGTAAGGCACCTGTTACTAGTAGCGTGGCACTTGTTACTATGTTACTACTAGCTTCTTGTTACTACTAGTAAGGCACCTGTTACTAGTAGGCTGGCACTTGTTACTACTAGCTTCTTGTTACTACTAGTAAGGCACCTGTTACTAGTAGCGTGGCACTTGTTACTACTAGCTTCTTGTTACTACTAGTAAGGCGCCTGTTACTAGTAGCGTGGCACTTGTTACTACTAGCATCTTGTTACTACTAGTAAGGCACCTGTTACTAGTAGCGTGGCACTTGTTACTACTAGCTTCTTGTTACTACTAGTAAGGCACCTGTTACTAGTAGCGTGGCGCTTGTTACTACTAGCTTCTTGTTACTACTAGTAAGGCACCTGTTTCTAGTAGCGTGGCACTTGTTACTACTAGCTTCTTGTTACTACTAGTAAGGCACCTGTTACTACTAGCGTGGCACCTGTTACTACTAGCTTCTTGTTACTACTAGTAAGGCACCTGCTACTACTAGCGTGGCACCTGTTACTACTAGCTTCTTGGTCTTTACATGCCTTGAGAAGCACGGGTCCTAAAGACGCACTCCTCGTCCGGACGGACTTGGCAGGTCGCCGGTGGGGCCGAAACTCCCGAAGGCACAAGGGCCCGAGGGTGCCCAAGGGCGATGCAAGGGAGTCGCTACTAGTAACAAGGGCCTCGCTACTAGGAACAAGTGCCACGCTACTAGGGGCTCCTGGCCTTACTACTAGGAGCAAGGACGCTACTAGGAGCAAAGGGCTACTCTAGCATTCCACCTAATAGCAATGGCCTCCAATCCAATAGCGATGGCCTCGAACCTTAGCTAGTCGTTCTTGCGAGGAGTAGTTGACGCCAACACATGCAGGCTGAAGTTGGTGTCACACGTGTCACACGCACTGCACACTTTAGATCACAGTGTGTATTCGGAAGATACTCTTGCCAAGTGAATACATATTTTCCATCATGTTGTCCAGTCGCACAGTTTGTGAGAAACTGACACGCTCGAGATGTTGCTAGTAGCAAGCAGTGGTCAAGAAAGCAGTCTTCTTCCAAAAAGCACCCTTGTTTCCACGAGCATATGGGTAATTCAGTCCAACACAGCTTCCACAAGCAACTTGGCGGAACATGAAGTGATTCGATCGTTGAAGCATGTATACCGCAACCGGCAGGGGAAGAAGACCCAGAAGAGGCGCTCCAAGTGCCATATTGGACTTCGAGAGGGTCACTAAGAAGTGCATCCAATTGAAATGTCCCTAGTTGGATAAGAATATGTTTTCATTCTTTTCCTCTTCTTTTTCTTGGTTTGGGTTGATTGTTCACGCTGGTCGTGATTTGCTGTATCGACATGGGTCTCTCTTCTGCCCCTAGTTCACCCATGCAAAGCTTCACGCACAGCGGTGAGCCCAAACAGCCATAATCTTTGCAGGCAAAAAGCCAATCTGCGCAGAGCTCCCAGTCAACAATGGTCTGGTCGATTAACTGGGCATGGAAGAATCGAAAGGAATCCAAAGAATTTGTGGATTCGAATTGGCTGCAATACAGTTTGTGCAATCTTGCGCCGACTTATATAGTGCCCCCCTGAGTGTTTCTGCGATCATGCCAACCATGCTTGCTCACTCGTGCTTTGCTTTGAATGTTTGATCCTCTTTCCCTCGCAATTGAGCACCATAGAACTTCCTCCGAGGCATAGCTCCTTCTCGGAAGAGAGGCGATTAGTACTTCTGCGTGGCGTGATTTCTCTAATTAAACTTATAAAATTATGCTGTGGTATTTTTGGATGCGTTTTTTGTTTTCAGTAGTAAGGGGAAATCCGTTTCCGAAGGTGATCTGTTTGTTTGTTGCCAAGCACCCACCCGACCCAACATGCCTTTTGATTCTTGGCTTTCAAAAACGCCTTTGGGATCAAGATCTGTTTGACGCTGCACCAATGGGCTCGAGCTGTCCTTTGCATACTATCGAACATGAAGCCAGGAACATACGACATACATGATGCCCTTTGCTCCTATAGTAAGGCCAGGAGCTACTAGTAGCGTCCTTGCTCCTAGTAGCGATGCCAGGGTAGCTTCTTGTTCAAAGGGCAGTTGTAGGAGGTTCACCTTTCAATCTGAACGAAAGCAGACCCTTCATTCATCCGACCGGAGAAAGACAATCGGTGATCTTTCCGCTTTCGGCGGCATTTGACTGCATAGCCGTAGATGTCCATGATGTAGATGCTGTGCACCCCAAATCAACTGTCAGCTGAATTTTCTCCACTTGGCCCTTGCGGGCCTTGCTGGACACGCAATGCTGCCAAGCCGCCACTTCAGCCACTTTCGGCAGAAGAGAGTTTCGGAGGCTTTGAAGCGTCTTCCAAACTGTTTAGTCGATAGCCAATCTGTTTTGCATCGCAACAGCACGTTCCTCCGCTTTCTTCTTTTCGCAAGGGTGGATGAACAATTGATTGGTACAAGTAGGTTGTTTTTATGCTTCGCAAGGAAGGCGAATAGGTTGGAGGCCATTGCTATTAGGTGGGAGGCCATCAAATCGGGTCGCTTGTTCTTTTTGCGAGGCGATCCGATGCTTTGCTGAGGAGGTGCTCTCGAGCCTATGGGAGGGCCAAGCCATCCTAATAGCAAAAGGAACCTAGAAGCGATGGCCTTCAACCTACTAGCAATGGGTCCAGTATTAGTAGGAACTTCATTGCTGGGTTTGTTGAACAATGGCACACGTATTGTGCAAGACATAGTCTTGAAATGTATTGATTGCGAAAGCATTCGCTGATGAATGATCAGTTGGCTTGAAGTTGGTTCATTGCAGGCATCTCAAAGCAGTGGAGCGCGGATTGGCCATTCAGGAAGGTGGGGATTGGAATTCTAAATAAAAATGAAAGGAAAGAAGACACCATAAGAAACCGGTTGGAGGCCATCGCTCTTAGGTTGGAGGCCATTGCTATTACTTTGAAATTGCCTTCAAAGGTGAACAGGTTGCTCATGATTCTTCCCCACCCAAGACTTGAAACCGGGAAACTCTAGAGCGTTGCACCACCAAAACTGATTGTTGTTCAAACAGACCTTTTGAATTCTTTTTAACTGAATTTTGTTAATATGTTTCCTTCTTTATAATTCTTTTTCATTTCCCCACACCTTTTTTCTTTAGGAACTAAAAACAAGGCTCCTTTCTTGACTGCAGTCTTCGGCCGTGCCGGCTCGGCGCAGTCCGCCGTCCTTGGCGCAGCGCCTCTCCGTGGGTTTAGGCGCCCTGGGCCTTGGTGTTACCTCGGTGGCAGTGCCTCGCCTTGGAAAACATCTGAACAAAAACCCGGCGCCAATGAGTAGCTGAGTAGCAATCAGTCAGCTGGGTATTGCATGAAGGAGCATCCAACCATTTTGCACTGATGTCGCACCATCTGCTAGGATGCTACTAGGGGCTCCTGGCCTTACTACCAGGAGCAAGGAAGCTACTAGGGGCTCCTGGCCGTACTACTAGTAACAAGAAGCTATTAGAAACAATAAATAAGTTTAAATAGAAATAAGTTTAATGTCGCACCATTACTGCATGTTTTGACGTATTTTGATGCAACGTTGCTTCTCTCGAGTTTTGCATCGGCCTGAAGGCAGTGGCTTGGTGGCAGCTACCTCGTATCCAAGCAGTGCCTTTGGAAGAAGTGAACGACAGCTTGGATGTAATGAAGCCTGAGACCTCACTTCAGGGACCCAGGTACTTTTCTTAAAATGTAAAATGCATTCATTCTCAGAATGCGTGTTTGAAATGAAAGAGGAAACTTGCGTTTCTTTGCTTTTTATTTCTTTTCTTTTTCCTTCCTTTCTTTCTTTACATCCAAAGGTTCCACCAGCACCAACTCCGACCCTCCACACAGGTGCTGCATCCTCCTGATGAGGCCAGATTGACAGATTGACACCTTTTTCAAGTCCAGCTATGGACGCGTCTTAAAGCGAATCTCTCTCTCTTCCAAGCTCCCCAAGAAATCCATCAAAGAAGCTTCTTATTGCGTTTGCACCACTGTAAACCATTAGGATTCCTGATCTCGAAGGGAGACTCATCCGGACCGAATGCGTCCATTCTTCACTCGCTTCACTCGGCTTCCGAAGGCGCCCAATGTGTGGCAACGGCTCCTGGGTTCTTGGAGCACTCCACGACATCCGGCCGATCGTGTCTTCGACTCGGCCGACTTGGACCGAGATGGTCTTCTGGACCGGCGGGAGTTGGCACAGTACATGATGACGCTTGGGTCGGACTTCTTTCACAGTCGAAGAGAAAGGAGTGAAAGAAGTCTCGGCGTCCTTGTTTCTAATAGCGAACATTGTTACTACTAGTAAGGCACTTGTTACTAGTAGCGATGCACTTGTTCCTAGTAGCTTAAGACCGGCTTTGTTAAGACCAAGGCCAACATTCCCTTAAATTAGTGTTTTTTTTGTAGCATGGGTAATGTGTGTGTGGAGCTCTACATGCGAGAGGAACAGGACTCTGTGGGGATGATGGGTGCCTTAGTGAGAATGAGGGGCAATAACTCAGCTGGACGGTGTAGCTAGACTCAGCTGGACGTGGCTTTGATGCGGCTTTGCAGACGTGGCTTGTTGGAGCAGACTGTGATCTTGATGTCTGAGGAACTGTGGGATCATGGACATGAGCGGGTTCAACGCCATTTGGGAAGAGATCAATACTGACGACACAGAAGCCATCTCCAGAGAGGACCGTGTGGAGAAGAGAGAAAGACTTAAGCAGCTTTAGGCCTGAGAACTTTGACAATTGAGGCTTTGAGGTCCTCAGGCTGGTTGACCTTTGGCTCTTGAAGCCAGCATGAAGCTGTAAAGAACATGCTTTTGTTTGAAACAGCAATGTGTAGTGACAACACCCAATAGCTAAACGCCCACTCGCATGGGATTGTAAAGAATGTGTTTATTTTTTTTTGTCATTTTGGTATATTTTGGTCATCAAACAAGTTAGCGCTTTCAGCGATGTGCCACTGATGTGACTCATGGCGACCAGGAGTTCAGGAATTTTCATGACAATGCAGAGCGCAATTTTTATTTGTTGCTTGGACTGGTGAAACTGGACAGTCGCTCTCAAATAAGACAGTGACATAGATTCATAGAAGGTTTTTCGATGTTTAAGGTTTAAGCTGCAAAGAACAATAGAAGCTTAACTGCGGTGGCGAAGCCGAGGAGTTTGTGGCGCTCCTTAATTGGAGATCCAAGCTTCTTAGGGAGCACGCTGTACTTAAGCGGCTCGGTGCTTTTCGCTGCCATGCCCTACTGGTCCTTGGCAAGCCCAGCCACCATGACCAAGATGGGTCAGGCCCCTGTGGAGGTTTGACCAGGGTTAACAGATCTTGAAGGTGCTGAACAGTGTACGCCAAGTGAGAATATGACTTTGGAAGACTTGCCCTTGCATGTTTCGCAGGTGTTCTACATCTTTGGTGGTATCCTGTTCTTGTCTCAGACACTGGCCACTCGGGAAAATGGGAACATGTGCCGAGAGCATCCACTATTGAAGCGGAATTGGGGGCCAAAAGCATTTGACCGAAACTTCTTCCCCGCTCAAGGCCAAAGGGAGCTCCTAGTAGCGTCGCTCCTAGTAGCGATGCCAGGAGCCCCTAGTAGCGTCCTTGCTCCTACCCCCCCCCCGCGCGCGAAAAGGTCCTAGTAGATTCCTTTGCTAGTAATTACAAGTGCATCGCTAGTAGTAACAAGTGCCTTACTGGTAGTAACAAGAAGCTAGTAATTACAATTCCAATTAAATTCTGATTGTTACTACTAGTAAGGCCCTTGTTCTTAGGAGTAAGGCCAGCAGCCCCTAGTAGCGTCGCTCCTAGTAGCGATGCCAGCAGCCCCTAGTAGCGTC